TTATGTAAAAAATGTATCAATCCCGAAAATCCCGGGATTCATTAAAATTGATCCCGAAAATTTCGGGACTAAAATATGACCGGGATCCTCGAATCCTCTATGTGTGACATAACGAACTTAGTCATCGTTTATCACACTGTTTAGTGTAGTTTCAGCTCCTAGATAAATGTATTTTTCTAGTGCAAAAAAAATCATATAAAGCTGACAGAGACCTTAGACCGATCCTGTCACCTACTAAAACATTATCTACATGTATTTTATGTCTCTTGTGCAAAGACAAAGAAAAAGATTTTTAGAAAAACTAGCGAAAGTTTTTAGATTTCCTACTTAGGTAATGCCGAAAAAATTATCTTTAACAGATGTCTCCTGCTTATAAAGTAGCAATTTTTATTTCAAAATATCAAGCAGTTTTTGCATAGGTGATTTTAATAGTGAGTGAGTGCTTATCCTTTTCCTGTTACTGAAGATTAATTGCGATGTTATAAACTAAAATTAACTCCACGTTCGCAAATCAGTGTCCAGATGAAATACAAATAATATGACCTACCCCATTCTGTACAAAAATCTGATTACCATCGAGTGAAATTAGTTGTTGACATCGATTTGTTGCCAGCCAGCCATTGTTTTGTTCACTTCAGTATTAATAAATTTCTAGTAAGTATTGGAAAACGATAAAAAACTTAAAATATAAAAGGATTGACGTGTAGAAGTTATATAACTTGGTGCTTACAATAGCCTATAAATAACAACATGTGTCATCCACATCTGGGCAAATGTGTCGTAGTTCTTTAATTTGAATATCTTTTAGTATGTCTTCCCTGTCACACTATTTAGCAACGAATTTTTTTGGTTAACTATTATTTGTAAAAATTAAATAGACTTGCCAAACTTTTCGTCACAAAAGCCTTGATGGATACACATGTAAGAAAATTAATACATAAATATAGGCTTAGCTCCATCAGCACTTAATATCACGATGAATTTGGGTCTTCTTTATATTGTTGGGTTGGGTTTCTCTGTAAGTTTAAGATTTTTAAAACTGAGAAATTAATGTGGTTTCTGTTTCGGAATGATTCTTTTTTTATTATTTTGTCTGTTCTGAAACCTTTTTTATATTCAACTAGGTGACCTGACATACTTTATACTGTATTAACTATGGACATTATATTCACATTAGTATAATTAATACATATAAGTATAAATATAACTTTTCTAATTTTCCGCGCAATTTTCTCTTTCATAACAACCTTCTCCTGACAATAACAACTACAACAACAAAAGAATTAGCAAAATTGGTCCCGCTGTTCACGCGTGATGCCGTGACCAAGGGATATAAGGATGTAGATTACTTTAAATTATAAGTTTTTGGAAATTCTGACATGAGACACAGGTCTCTCCTTGGAAAAGGGGTTTTGATCTATTATACTACGCTGGCCAGACGGGATGGTATAGGGTTATGTTTATATACTTGACATTAAAGTAAAAAGATAGGTAACCCCGAATATATATCTGGTTTATTTGCATCAGAAAAACTTGTGTCATCTTTTCTAGCAAACGATTAAAGTTGTATAACATTAATTGGGTCTACTCTTTATGGCAGAACTTTTTATGACATAATATTATTTTGCATAACAACGGATAGCATAAACTTCATTTCGCAGAAAATCGTTTGGCAGACATTCATTTATCATACATTCAAAACTCATAATTTTGTAAGTCATAATCATCTTTAGGCATAAACTTTATATCCATAATAAATAAAAAGTAAAACCATCATATCGCCGAAAGTTCATACTCAGAATCGTCTTTGAGCATTAATTTTATATCGATAGTCGTTAAGAGGCAGAACTATCATATCTCAGGAAGTTTACAGTGAGAATCATCTTTTGGCATACATTTCATATCTATGGTAATTGAAAGACTGTCAATCCATCATTTTGTATTTGTTACCATAATAATAAAGCCCGCAAGTATGCAGCATGCAAGCAAGAATGCAGCATGCAGCATATCTGTCACTGCTTCGCTGCGGGGTTCCAGCGGTCCCACGCGAGCATATCCTCGCAGATGAATTCAACGCTCACCACCGCAGCTTCGGCTCAGCCTCAACCTCAGCCGCGACAGCGACAGCAAGCGTTGAAACCACCTCCTCATAAGCTCGCGGGCCGCCTAGCCCCTTCACGCCTTAATTATACTCTCTAGTCGAGTTTTGCAGATATTCGTTTCTGTCACAACCTTCTGTAGCAAGACTTTTAAAGATAATAATTTCATTTGAGATTAAAAATGCTACTTTACCTGAGTCGTGTGCGGTCCTTGGCCCGTTGCCGGGCCTGGCGCTCCAGGAGAGTTCTAAGCCTCGCCCGGTCTCATAAGCATAACTTGCTCGCAGAAGGAGACGGCAGAGTTCCACGCACTCTCGCTCTGTACCATGGCGGCAATCATGTTACCGAGCGAGAGAATTCCTACTCCGATGGCCGCCACGAGGCAACGCCTCTGCTCCACCCACGCATTCTGCCAGCGTATGGAGCGCTATGTCCACGGTCCGGCCATCGCAGTGGTGGCACTCAGGCGTTGGCTCATTGCGGATCAGACACAGGTGATCTCCGAAGCATGCTTTCCCGGTGATCATCGCATCGCATCTTGCCCCTAACCATACTGTAGGAGCGACCCCACGGATCCCGCTCCAGTGTCTCCAGTAACTCGCGGCAGGCCTCGCTCTTGGCCCGCTTTATTGGGTCCTCTTAGCAACCCTGTATCCCGCTAATAGCACCGCCTCTCGGGTCGTCCCATCTACGGGGACGGCAATATGCCTAGTAAAATTATTTTAAATTAAATAACAAATAACCATCGCTTTAAATAAACGTTATGCTAAATAAAATTATGCGATCTTAAAAGTATGCCATTGTAAATTCGGACATATGAACATTTGACCAAACAATAATTATAATAAATCATTTTTATGCCTTAATAGATTCGTTTAAAGAAGATTCTGCCATGTGTGTTATTGCGAAATAAATTTCGGAGCATCAAGATTCTGCCACATAGAGGGAACCCACATTAATTATTTCATTATTTTTATATTTCTTTCAGTAAAGCGGGGCTTACTAGTTAAAAATCACTAGACTGAAATAATTAAATTACTATTTATTACATATTTACGACAAGGTCACAAGCTTTTAAGAGTAAACGTTTTTTGGCCAGGCCAAGCCAGTTAAAAAGAAATAATAGAATTCACTTATCTAAGTTTAATTCGATATAGCGTGAGAAAGTTATACATTAATGTATGATATATATCCTAATAGCTAATTTAAATGCAGCGTGATATGTATCAGTGAGAATTCGAAATTCTCTCCATGAATGGCCTCATCTAGACAGATCGTGACTATACATTTGATAAGTGCATTAGTGTCGACCATTTTGATTGTTTATTCACTATCTGTGTTGACAACTGGTATCTGTTTATTGTATGATTACTTTGTCTAGTCTTAAGTTGAATTACAATAATATATTTCTTGGGTTGCCTAATAGATATTTATTCTAATATTTAAAATAAAACTTCAAATTTAGAAAGTAGTTAAGATCTTAATTATGCTCTCGCTGCTAAAGTTAAGTCTACTCTCAATGGTTCATCTGACCTCTGATAAAAATTAAAATTCATTTGTAGCCATCGTTTGTAGGTCATAAGATGTTTGTAGGAGTGGTTTAAACGTTTTAATAAAAATAGTTGTTGGTAAACCAAAAAAAAAACATTAAAGAATCAAGAACAATCCGTCTCTCATCCATTCTCTTTGTTGGCCTGAATAGAAGACTGACTTGGGTGACTGATTTTCTTGTAAATTATTTTTTTCAGTTAGGAAAAAAATTGTCATTTCGCTTTAAAAGAGCAAGCCAAGATACTTGAAATCGGTGCAGACTGGAATCGCTGTTCCATTCAATAAAATGGTTGTAAGACTGGCAAATTCGCCAACATTTTAGAACATAATAATTTTGGGTTTTGGGTCTGATAATTTTCAAACGATTAATTTTATCGTTTTGTTGCCATTTCTAAGTTTGCGTTGGATCTCGGATCCAACTGTATTGGCTTACACACTGCCATTCTGGAACAGTATACACCGCGGTACCTTTTTTAATAATATCAAGGTTCATCCATTATTCACAGGGAGAGGTAAGTATGGACAACCTGGTGCAAGCCCACAGATATATTGAATTAATTGTTTCCCGCAAAGGACTTGACATGAGCACTAGGCTCTATACATAGCACAAAACCATTCCATACTTATTAGGCACTCTTCCAGCTTGCAAAAACATACTTTCAAATCTCTCGGGGACTTCTCGTTTATCAAACGGCTTTTCTAGATCCACAAAAACAAATTCAATGCAATGCAAATTCTTATATGAACGTCTGTATTTCTCAATTCAAAAATATCTGTGACTCGATTTCATGTGAAAGAAAGATTCCTTTTTATTATTAAATTATTTTGTGCACAAAATATGAGAGATCTATTTATCTACTGGTACTGTTACCGGACTTCATACTACTATTTTTAGAAAGAAGTGTACAGAAGCAAATATCCAGTACTATACCGGACACCGGTTTTTACCTAAGAATCTCACCAGTAAAAGCGTAAGCATAAACTATAAGGTTACCGTGTGGCCTCGCCACCCCTATTCATCACTTGGGTGTCATGAGGGCCGACTGTAGGAGCAAACTACGCGTTACAACAGCATTGAAGAGAGAACTAAAACTTGCCACAAACCCTGTACCCCCTAAATTCCCTTTCCAAGGAGAGGCTTGTGTTTTTCAAAACATGCTTTAATTGTTTTAATTAAGCATTAAATTAGTTTGAGAAACACGATATATGTTGTTACATCTTATGAACGATGAGATAATGCAGGAATATCAAGATATAAAAAGGTCATTTTAAAAAGCATAGGATAAGAATATAAATAATAATAAAAACACATATTAAAGTTTAAAAACATTAGTATAGTTTAATTATTCCCTATGACGTTATTATTGTAACGTCTAAATTTTTCTGTGTAATAAGGCTTATTTTTTTTCCGCTTCGTTGCAACGTCCGCCCTCCCTTTAAGAGAACCTGAAAAGAAATGTACATTTAATAAATTATTTATCTGTAAGTTTTTTCCTTTGTATTCTGTGCTCGTTTGATAAAATCTAAAGAAGAAATGAGAAATATTAAAGCTCTTTTGTTATCGGCACTGTTTAATTTGTCTGATATTATTATATGCTAAGAGTAAGTATTAGAAATCACTTGTGCAATGAATAGTATATATCTATATACCTCTTTTTATTTTGTGACTGTATAGAACGACACAAAAACATATTTTTGCAGTGTGCGAATTGCCAGATAGAATCAGAAATAATAAACTTTATGGTGCACTACGTTAAGAAATTGAAATAATTGGGGTTAAAGTATGAAATTGCCGTTGTATAGTAATAGATACTTTGAATTCACATAAAACCTTCATGTTGTGGGATTTTCGAGTAAAACTTTTTTTTTTTTTTTACATGATACCCAAAAGGTTCTTCTTTTAAAAAATGTGCAACATTCGATTTTCTATTTTCAATTAGACGTGACAGATGGATACTTCGAAAATTCGAGTCATTTTTGAATACGAGTTTCGACGCGGAACTAACGCGGTAGAAACGGCTCGCAATATCAACACTGCGTTTGGAGAGAAGACTGCTAATTAAATCACAGTGCTTTTTTAGTTTAAACGCTTTTTTAATGAATGAATTGAAGAACGAACCGCCTGGAAGGCCACCCACACAAGAGAATAACACTAAATTGAAGGAGATGGTGGAAGTCGATCCGAGTCAAACTATCCAGGAATTACCGGCATGGTTTAACGTTAACCTACCTACAATATTGACTAGTTTGCATCAAATCAATAAGATTAAAAATTATGAAAAATGGGTGCCTCATGATTTGACTGCAGAAAGAAATGCGTGTTAAAACTGTTCTTGCCTTATTAAATTGGTACAAAAATGAAGGAACATTAGATCAAATTATGACATGAGACGAAAAGTTACGATAACCTTAAGCGAAAAATGCAATGGCTGGCCCAAGGTCAAACGCCGTCCGAAGATGTGCGCGAGTGGCGCGAAGCCGCTCGCCGAGCCACCATGGTCAGATGGTCGCTCCGGCTGGAGACTGGCTTCGCCGCCGTGGAGGCTCTCCAGCCGGTCATCGCTGAGTGGGCAGGGCGGCATCACGGGACCCTTTCCTTCCGGCTGACGCAGGTGCTTTCCGGGCACGGTTGCTTCGGAAAGTACCTGTACTCGGTCGCTAGGAGGGAATCGAGTCCCGCCTGCCACCACTGCGACTGCAGTGAGGATTCGGCCCAGCAAAAGCTGGCGGTTTGCCCCTCATGGGCGACGCAGCGCCGGGCCCTCACTGCAGTCATCGGAGCGGATCTCTCGCTACCGGCCGTAGTTCGCTCCATTGCCGGTAGCGACAGTTGTTTTACCGCGGTCGCAACCTTCTGCGAGGAAGTAATCTCGCAGAAGGAGGCGGCGGAGAAGGCCCGGGAGGACGACCTCCACTCCGACCTGATCCGCCGCCGGCGAACCGGGCGGCGGAGGCGCGCTCACCTGCGCCTCATGCCGCCCTGAGTGTGGCCGCGGGTGGACGGGATGGGTTCTCCCCTCCACCCGCCGCAAGGGGGCGGCGTCCGCGTGTGCCGGACGTCGCCTAAAGAGAGGGTCCACTGAGACGGAGCCCGCATCCACATCAGGAGCGGGCCGGCGCTGGGAGGGGTCCAGAAGGCGATAACTACCTGGACCCCTCCTAAACTGGAAGCGCAAAGAGGGCACACCGTGTGGTTTTAGTCGGTTCGAGTCCGACACACCGCCCCGCCGAACGAGAGCCCCGGCGGGGTGACGGTCCGAGGGGAATTCCACACGTAAAAAAAAAAAAAAGTCAAACGCCGTAACCTCTGTCGTAAAGTAAAGCTTACCAAGAAAAAGGTACTGTACGGTAACTGGTTGGTGGTCTTTTCATGGTGTTATTCACTATAGCTTTCTCAGGTCTGGTCAGGCAAGAACATTAGATGTTTACTGTGCCGAACAATGATGGCGAACTGGCAGTGAAACAGCCTCGACTCGTGAATTGACCTTCAACATTATTGCTCCATGATAACGCAAGACCTCATACTGCACGAGAAACCGTTGTAACTCTACAGGAATTGCAGTTAGAAACCATAAGTCATCTTCTGTACTCACCAGACCTTGTTCCAACGGACTACCGATTTTTTCGTAATTTGGACATTTAAAAAAAAAATCTTCCAGGAGGCAGTACAAAAGACGTTCATACTTTTTCGTTCGTGCTTTATCGAATCTAGATCCCCAAAGTTCTATCGCAAAGGCATAAATGAAAGTTTCTTTATGCCTTTACGATAGAACTTTGGAAGTCCGTTTAGATTAATAATAATTTAATAATAATTTATTTATTTGACCAATATAAATATTACAGTGTAGGACATTTCAGTTTAACATAGATCTTAGACAATAATTAGACTAAGTTACACTAGCGTAAATCTATAGTAGTGTTATTTTATGATTAGATTTCATAAAGATCTTACGATTTTGTTTAAAAACTTTAGTCGCTGCCTGCCTGAACTAGGGTAAACCTGTGTTTCAGTAATGCACTTCAAAAACAATAATAATTGTAAGTTACACTTTTAATACCTGTAGCCACTTTACCACCACTTTAAAACACTTTTAATACTATAGTACTTTTGGGAAATTCATTAAAAACTTAATTAACTGAATGTGTTTTAACACACATTCAGTTAAAAATGGTCTCCGTGAGTTCATTCGCCGATGCTTTAAAAGAAGTTGAATCAGCAATAAAATGATAGTATTTTTCATACTTTATTATTCTTATGTACAATGGACAACTCTTGTTATAACAAACCATGCAATCCAATAACATTTTCCGAGACAAAGTTGCATCTGGCAACGCAATACATGGTGCGGAATAATACATCCATCTGGCAACGCAATACGCGTTGCAGAATAATTCATCCAATTATTCGACAGCAACTCACAAACATCAATAACTGCGTGGCAAGCCGGACTAGCAAACCGTTACTCTAATTGAAAATTAACCCTGTGTTTGTGTAGGTTTATGTAAATACAAAATGGAAGCAGTCATTTTCTTTGGGAAGTGTAATTTTGATTTATTAACATAGCACGTTGTTTCTTATAATATGTTATTATTTATAACCTAGCAGAGATACAACAAATTATAAATAATAGTTAAGCACCCGGCCTCACACAGCGCTCATCCACTATGTGGTTAGAAAACTTTAACTGAACGGATGGCGTAGTGGTTTAAGCGCTCTTATGTGTCTCTTAAGTATCTATTCAAGTTGACGCTGTAAACTTGTACCCTGATAATCTTCTTTTAATCAATTAGACACGCTATGTGTCAATCACACTATTCAGAACACGGAGTACATATCATAATTTGCATTTGAATTGCGTGATTTAAAATTAATAAGATCATCATCATTGTCATCAACAACAGCCTTTAATAGTCCACTGCTGGTCATAGGCCTCTCCTTAGAAAGGAGATACAAATAGAATTTAATGATTCAGGGATTACTTACATTGAATGCCTTCCGAAATTTTCGTGACATCAAACTATACAGAATTGGGTTCACTGCTGACGATACGTATCCGTTGTAGCATAAAAAGTTAACTATCTTCCATACCTAAAAAAATAATAATATTAATTTATGATACACTAACTTCAGTTATTGACGGGCCTGTTGGTTTAGCGGTTACCGACCCCGACTGCTAAGCCGAACGTTCGATTTCCACCCAGGACAAATATTGTTGGATGAACATAGTCATTTGTTCTGTCTGGGTGTAATTTATCTATAATATATATGTATTTAAATATATATAAGTATGTTTATCAGCATAGCACAGGCTCTGCCTAGTTTAGGATCAGACGGTCGTATGTGAGATATATTATTATTAAACAGGAATTTATCTCTCTCTCTCTTTTTCTAAATATTCTTGCAAAAAAAAATGGAAATGCAACATCGCTATTCCGTTAAAAGGCAGTGTTTTTTATGGATTTCCTGATAGATGTATATCAGGAAATCCATAAAGAACACTGCCTTTATCAAGGTCGTTATTGTGTTAAAAAGATGAAATATCTTTAAGCGCAATAACGCAATTTTTTGTTTACACATCAATGGCATGACAATGTCATTGATGTGTAAACAAAAAATTGCGTTAACTTTTATGACTAATGTTGCGTAAGCTAAAGTATAATCCCTTTATTTAAATTTCGTACAAAAACAAATATATCTAAAACCAACTTTTGGTCGTAAAGTCCAACGTCAATATAAAGACTAATACCGTTAACTAAATCAAATTACATTTTCAGGGATTCATTTCTTTACTATAACACAACAAATTTTGACTGTTACATAGATAGATAGATAGACAACTCTTTATTTGCACTAGTACTAAGTATTGTGTCAATGCTCAACACCTAACTCTCACTATGAACAGTCTGCTCATCATATCCTCTGGGAATGTAGTCTTTGGTATAATGAACGTAATATAATGCTGAATAGCTTTCAGGTGACATCTGGGGCGGTATACTATGGGGATCTTGTGTCAACTAGGGTGAATTTCCGTGCGTTTAGGCGATTCTGCCATACATATTATAGAAATCAAACATAGCTCACGTAGGACCCGTAATATTTGTGGTCGTGGTACTTCCCTGTTTAAAAGGGTGTATGCCCATTTTACTTCATTTTGTCTCCCGCTTTGCTAAGGAGGGAAGTAGATTTACTGTATTTCCAACTCCTCCAATTTTCTTCTGATTAATTTCGTTGCGGGTTCCAAGACAGTTTAATTTCTTCCTGGGACTTCCCGAGTGTCATAACTCGGTGTGTTCGTGGGTCACTGCTGTGGATCCTGGTGTACAGGAGTTACAGTGGTGGGCGTGTGGGTGGGATTAGTCCCAAAAAAAAAAGTATTATGGTACATAAAAATATCAGACATGTAATGTACAAAGGGCGGCCTTATTGCTTAGTTAGTATTACTTAGTTAACTAAAGTTAGTTAACTTTGCAACCTGTCATGTAAAGTGCATAATGATTTTCTTAATTGTCTGAGTCGCCAATTCAAGATTTAAATTTTAAAAAGATCTAAGAAGGAAAAAATATTACTTACGGTTTGGTTATCTTCATAGTCAAAGTTTGGATATATCGTCATTACTCGCATCACACAGTACGGTAACCAAAAGAAGACAGAGGATGCAGCTATAGCCGCTGGAAAAAAATGTTATTTATCTGAACAATAAATTTGATTCTAACAAAATACATTTTACGATACAAAGTTGTTTAAAATTCATATTTTGTAACTTGCGGGAACAAACGTTCATGATATAATTACTAGACTAAGTACGAGAGTAAAATGCTTTGTAAGTTTTCTTCAGTCTTAAGTGAGTTAATGTTTGTTTTCATTTTTTAGTCGTCTTAATAAAGCAAAAAAATAGTAGTATATATATTAAAATATATTAAAAATGTACAAATATCGTTTAGATGATTAGAAATTGTAAACAAAGTAATTATGAAAAGTAAAGTTTGAACACACATCATGCGAAGCAGTAGCCGTTTGATATTCAAGCCGTCATGTTATTCGTACTAGTCATTAGACTCCTATTTTTACGGTTTTAGTTGATTAGATAGTATCTTAAAACACTGAGGAACTTTAAGTAAGAGGTAGCTTTTGAGTTCGCTGTATGTATTACTCACCTAACATTTTTACGGCCTTGTCACGATTTTGTCTTGCGTTCATAGGACTACTCCGTAATTTACTATGTTTCGAGTTTAATTCTAGAACTATTAGCATATATAGTATAAATGTTACTGACATAGGCGTAATGCAGAGCAGTATAACCTCTATACCCATTATTATACTTGGAATATCTGTCAGTGTATAGTAACAGAACACGTATTTCTTTCTTTCTAATAAATTTATGTAAAATATATCGGGAATACAAAAAAATAACGATATCGCCCAAATACCGCCTACAATTTTGAATACACGAGAGTTGTGCAATAATTTTTGCCTTAAAAAAGGTCTGGTGACTACAATATAACGTTCGACGGTAAAGGCGGTAATAAGAAGTAGATTACAGTTACAAAAAAGATCTAAAAGTATGAAATGTAGTCGGCACCCGAGTCCACCCAAAGGGTAAAAATCCGGCATCCAAATAATGTACAGATCAATAGGAATGAAGAGAGAAATCATTAGATCTGTGACTGCGAGGTTGGCAAGGTAACAATTGGTAGGGGTCCTCATGCTACGATCCTTAACAATCACTATACACGTACTAACGTTGCCAATGAGGCTCAACACCATTGAAATACTTAGACATACACTTAGAACTATTTTGACTGCGTACGTGGTATTATCTACTATATTTCCTTCATCGACGTCGTAAAACGCGATACCAAATGGCCCGAATAACGGATATGAACCGTTTTCGTCGCTCTCATTTTGTCTTATGAATAACACTGTCATTTTTTTAAATAAACGTATAGCGTATTTTTATAATGAATAACAACCGCACTTTAATGTGGACGAATTCTTAAGCCAATACAAATATTTTGTAGACACTGTGCCGCTTTGTGTAGCGTCAAGAAAAGACTGGTAAGAAAAAAATCGACGGGGCCTTGACACACCCCTATACAGAATGATGCCAGAACACATTTTATTTTTCTAGTACTATCAAATATACATCCCAGATAAATAATAATAGCTAAACCAATTTCCAGGTCATTGATTGAAACGGTTATTCTCTAAATGATTTTGAGTAATCGGTAAACTATGATGGTGATCCGTTTGCTCGCCTGCCCATTCCAACATAAAACAAAATGATAAGGTAAGTAACTTAATGGAAAAGAGTTATTTATGTATTTTTCTGGTATAATTTAAAACGAAATAAGTTAGATTCATCATAGTTTACTACTAACGTGAAAGTGTTGCAATTTTAATAATGATATTTACATGAACAAATCAAAGAAAATTCACGCCAATTTCTACCAATTGTAACAGCTTAATAAGCGGCTTTAGGTTATGTGATTATGTCAATACCTTTATTATCTTAAAACAGATAACATACATTTTCTAGAATATAAGTATAGAAGTCCAAATTAGTAGTAGTAGTATCACTAATCTATCTGGTGATGATCAACATCAACAGATAGATTAATGATATAATTAGCGAAGAATTAGCGAAGCAATTGGGTTGGTTTTTAAAGTTTCAACCTGACATTTATTAAAAATCTGCCCATAGACATCTTCATCTCAATCAATCTTTCGTTTGGCATTATGCCCCTCAAACACAAAGAGAGGATTCTACAACTGGGCTAGTTGATCATGCTGCCGCCCTGTTGATGTTGTTAAATTGTATATACTAATCGGTGCGAAAACTTTAATTGCACGATGCGGGTTACTTGTAGTGACTACATTGTGCGGTGTGTCTTTGTTAGATTGTATTGAATAATTTTGTATCGTTGTGTAATGAAAGTCTTTACAGTATATTGAATTACATAATGAGAGCGAGTGAGTATAATTCCAGTCCTATGGCCTAAGTTTAGATAACACGTTTTTCAGTTTACCGTTGTCGTAGATAATCTATTTCTCTTTAATTTTATTCACCAATTTAGTATCTGTGGCGTTAGACTTACTTTGGAAATTGTATTGAAAAATAAATTGAAATTGTTAATATGTTCTTGTGAGTATAATTTATTAGTGTATTCGATATAAAGAGAAAAGTACGTTTGATTGATTCATTGATTAAAAAATTTCTGAATTAAGAATATAATTGCTCTGTTTTTGTTTCATTCAGACTCACAGCTGAACACATTCTATATTATAATTACTGCGAAATTCTCCCGCGCTATGCTACTTCTTCTTTTCAATACTTTATTCCACATCTGAATTGTCTATTTTTGTACTAGACTGCTACTTATGAAGATAACAACATATAATACCAATAAATATTTCAATGGTTTTAATAAATAAATTCCTTATAAAATAAATTTCTTTTATGATAGAGATCATTCTGTATATGAAAGTAATTGAGTTGATCTAAACAAGCTAACAAATTGGCGGCAACCATACAGTGCACGCGTACGGTCACCCCTAATTGAAATTACAGTGTGTCGTGGCATATAGAGAACACAACTTAATGGTTTTTTGTGGAAGCAATAGAATTTAAGAAGAGTTTAGGTTATAGTTTTTTTTTATTTTTTGTTTTAAGACCGACATTTTTTAGGTTAACTATTTTAAGCAATTTGTTATTTATTTTCCTTCGAACCTAGAGCTACAGCGATTATGTTTATTGCTAAAATCTAAAAAAAAAGGTTAACTCAGCTGGTGGTCGCACATGGCATGGTAGCTCTAGGTTTGAAGGAAAATAAATGACAAATTACTTAAAATCGACTTTAAAAAACCAGTTAGGTTTTCAATTGAACAAAGAAGTCTAATCTATTTCTTTTAATTTACTTGAAGTCATTGCCAATTGTATATAAACTGATTTCAATAATGATTATTTTTATTTCAATTGTTGAAATTCTTAATCAATCTTGATAAACTTCGACAAAAATATTCTTCTATGGGATATATAATATAAACTTCTATGGGATAAAAAATAACAGGTAGGTATAAGACGAATACAGTTTTTTAAAATTTATGATTTAGGCTCTTTTAAGTTGGTTATAACATTTGTAAAAACAGTTTTTTTGGTCTGTGGGAACTAATCAAAAACATTTTAAACTAAGTTGCTCTCCGCTCTAACTTCCTCCTCAATTCAATGAGAAAAAGAAGAAGAAGAAGAAGTTTTATTTTAATGTTATTGCAACACAATCACAATATTATTTTAGAGAATCAAAACATATATAGTATTGTAACACGTTACGAATTATTAATTATTAACAATTGGACAAATAGCTCTCTAACCATTTCACCGTGCCTACGTCAAAGCCATATTAGGAAAGCTTTGAAAGCATCATTCATGCAGTCAAATGCACGGGAAAAGTCTAAAATGGCTAATAACGTACCTTTGCCCTTGTCGCGCACACCTAAAATATTATCCACAACATGGCAGTGCAGGTACTACGTTTCTTACGGAACCCTGACTTAGGAAGCAAATTATTAGTTTTCAAATATTCACATAGTGTTAGCTTCTTCAGATCTTTATAATACAATTTAAGTGACTCAAGCTTAGTACTGTGATAGTAAGCATGAGCCTTATCTTTCAGCCCGACCATGAACCAAATAAATCTCTTTGTATAAGTCAGTAATCCATGGAGTAGGAAGCGTTTTAATTATGTTTTGTTTTAAAGGTGTGTGAATATCAAATATCTGTGTTATATAAGAGTTAAATGCCTGTAGCATCTTGTAATGCTTGACAACAATCTCCATGGTATGCATTCCAAACCAGTAGTAAAATAGCCCATTATAATGTCCTTTAGGTACGATAAACCACATGTCCTGTAGGCATCATTTTTTAAACAAACTCAAAGTAAGAAATGCGTGATGTTCAAGTTCGCTTATGTGACACACTGTTTAACAATAACTGTTTAACATAACATTACGGGTACGTGCATAAGTGCAAATCCCATCGATAAATTTTCGACTAGTATTTGTATAGTGTGTAGGGGAATCTACAATTTTAGTCAATTTAAAATGTAAATGGATTTAGAAAAATAATATTTATGTCAGCCATAAATTATCGTATGATCATGATTAGAAAAAGAACTTACACTGTCTGAAATGACATCAAAGTACGTGTCCACACTTAGTTAGGGTGGTCTAAAACCAGTGCCCATTATATTTTTTTTCCTATTTATGCTAAAGCTTAGTCACATCTGCTTAACTTGCAAGTGAGTTGGATGAGGCATTACACGCATGTTGATACTAGTTCTGACGTAGAAGGCCACGCCACCACTACGGCTACCGCGTAGATTAGCTGACCGTGGTACAAGTCGCAGTCGATAGCCAGGCACCTTAGGCCCTCGGCCTACCTGCCCCGGTCGCAACCATTTTTCATTAATTGCCATCACGTCGACCGAATGGCGAGTCATGGCCATTATGAATTCATCATGATTAGTAGAGAGAGAGACCCCGCGTTATGAAACCCAACTTTTAAATATTTACTAGCCATCATTATGCAAGTGTTGTCCACACATAGATAGTGTAGTGTTTTGTGGCTTTAATTACAAACAAAACAAAAAAATAAACTTACATTCATAGTCCCTTCCACTGAGCGAAGACAACATAAGTGAGTTAGTTGCAAATAGGTTAAATAGTGAAAATCTAAAATAAGGATATATATTTTCACTATTTTACCTATTATACCACAATACCACTATTTTACCTTAAAATAGTGAGCCTCTGTTAATACCACGATGCACACTGACAGCGATACCAGTACTTGACCTATTTTGAAAGTACATAGAACATAAAAGAAAAAAGTGTACTATGGATAACAAGAACAACCTTAATAGCGAGACGCCAACTTGATATTAACCAAAAATGTGGTTTATATCATCTTCTGGCCGTAAGAGAACGGCCGACTGACCGCCTTCTTTGCAAGCCATGATTTTACTTAAATTGAAAATATCTTTATTTCATATTTTTTTTAAATTGTTTGATATCGTCTTTTATGTAGACTCTGAAGCCGTAGATCAACACACACACAATAGCAACAATCTCTGTTTTGTCAAATTAGAAAATAAATTTAATAAAAATTATCCTTATACAAAATGTATAATATACTTGTGCCGATCTACAAGCACCCGTTTCCAAGAGGTTGAGCCTTATGAGAAGAAAGGGCAAACAAACTCATGGCCACTCTTTTGCAATTTACAGATGAATACAATGGCATCATTAAATATACCACGACATTGTTCTGATGTGTGCCAGTATGTCCGTTATTAAGGACTAAAACTTAAAAAGACAATAAAAGAGAAAGTGAAGTGAAACATAAAAAAAAAATCATCTACAAACGTAACGAATTAAGATCCTAAATAAATCCAGTTTAGTTTATTTTGTATTTTACTGTCATTAACCAAGTTTTGTTGTAGTACAAATAACTATTCGGGCCAACCACCGGTATTTAGAACGTTTGCTATTATGTGGTTGTAGAACAGTATAATAAAATATGTAAATAGCAACAAATATAATCTATTAAAACATTTTATTAGATTTGTACACTTGTTTTTTTATGTTCAATTGTGTAGCCTAAATAAAACTAAAAAATTATAGTCTGTAAAAAAGACCGTCTTTTTTGTTCCTTGACGTAAAATTAGGAACGCTTTTTATACTACGCAGTAACGTTGATTAGACTTGTAAGGTGCGTAAACATTTTCTATTCGCTATTGCCCCCGGGATCGCTTTTTTTCTTTACAGTTAACCTCTTATTTTACTCCTTAGGATTTTCAAGAATCCTTACTTAGTGGGTGCCAAAAAAATAAAATTTCAATTTTAAGTTTGTAGCTCCACCGGTTTAGGCTCTGCATTCATGAATTAGTCAGTCAGGGCTTGTAATTTTATATGTACCGATAAATACTATGTCAGCCAACAAAAGCTGTAAAATTGATGACAATATAGAGTATATTATAATTTATGAGCAGTAACTCCATAAAATAAAAGATAATAGCAGCCAACAGTCTTAAAAAGTTCGTATCCCCATACAATATACTTACAAACATAATTTATTAGTACACACTTGTGTTAATAACCTTTCTATAGTAGCGTATTAGGTGGTTTAGACGTGTAGGACCTTAATATATTAAATGGATCTTATTATAACAAGATAATAATGTAAGCATATGTAATCAGCCACTCCCAAAATTGATATCATTAATGACATCAGGCATCTTCTACTTGCTACTTTGTATTTATAATCCGTATACTATACTACTGTGATAGTTTAAAGGTTCACGGCGAATTTCGCACATTTTCTTGTAGTTTTTAATTAAAATAGTACTATCAGGTAATTTAATTTTAATGACCTCTCAATAGACTGATAAGTCATAAAGGAGTAAGGACTTCTTTATACAAAAATCTGGGTATGAGCAGGTTTATTCTTAAAGTCTTAAATTTTCTGATCGGGAAAAACTGTTTCATTACTGACGGGCTTGCTATTGGACTCCTGTGTAGACAATCTACCGCCTCTCACATATACAACTACACAGCTAGCTCGTGGCATTGACCATCAAGTCTGTTGTTATCAGTATGTAAATTTAAAAAAAAGACGGTGTTAACAAGTGTGAGTTTTTAGAGAATGCTTGAACGAGAGACATCCCAAATAAAATAATATTTGAAAATTAATGTACAAAAATCTTATTCTTCAAGTCTCTTATGTTTATGGTAGTTATGCTCTGCTTTCTCAACCATAATAACAACTTTGTGTCAAAACCGTAATGAAGTTGTAAAAAAATCAAAATCTACTTACTGGACTGTTTTCAGAGTGGACTATTAGGTTTTTGGATGTGTTTTTGTTGACATGTAATTAACGTTTATTTTTAATTTACGAATACTAATTCAGAGTACGAATATACAGAGCTGCGACGTGGTGCTTCATCACTAAATGCCGATTGAAGTCTCTGGCAACTCTGTTGATGACTTAAGCCACAACGAAAATCATAAAAAATCATTGAACGACTATGTTCACGAATCAAGTTCATTTTGATAGCGACACGTATGCCCCACGTAGGATCAGGAATCTTGGCAGTAGGGCTGTCGCAATGTTTGCTGTAGCTAGGTGAACTTAAATTATCTGAAGAAATAGAAAACCACTAAACCTATTATTTTGATATATATCTTCGACAGATGTAGCGCATCGCTATCATGTTACATAATTGCCTGCTGTAAGTTGAGGCAACTGATAGTATGCACTTTATTGGTATGCAATGAGAGTTCTTATTTCAATCGTAATTAGATAATGGAATGACTCTAACTGCTTATGAATTGATAAGGTTGAGAGTATTGCTAACCTATGGTACTGGGTAATGGTAAAATTAGAACTTCGGTTTATTTTATTATTTAAAGTAGCGCCATGCCAAAGACTGCGTTTGAAAAAGTTTGAAAAGGTTTGGAGTTTGGAAAGTTTACATAACTTACCACAAAAACTGTAACATACATAACGGTTGAATCGTCTCTTGTGAACTTTATGTTATAATAAGGTCGTTCTTAATCAACATAAGTAGTGTTGTTGTTTCTGGACATTTATCTATGACGTTCAAAGATTACCCGGTATGCCAATATAGTATACCAGCTTGGTATAGTAGACAAAAACCTCCTTTCTAAAGAGAGTCCTATATCCAGCAGTGGACTACACAAGGCTGTTGAATTGATGTGAATTAAATAACATTACAGCTACAACCAATTAATGGGTATCTTTTATGCTTTTCGTTTCAGACACTACATGATCCTTATGCAATATAATAATAATAATATTCTACCACAATCGATCCTTTGCGACTGCGATTACAGACTCTAATATTGACACCGTACGATAACGTAGTTTGCTCCTTTAGTCGGCTCTTACGACACCCACAGGTTGAACAGGGCTGGTGACACTCATATACATTATTAAATTAATTAAAAGTGTTAAAAATAATATTTATCTACACCTCACAAGGTTCAGGTGTTAAAGTCGGACTTATACGCTTGCTTACTTGAACTGAGGTTCATTTATAGGTAGGATTTAGAGGTATCATTTCCAAGAACTTCCTGTGAACCGCAGCGAGCCGACGATAAGATGTGTAGGGCGTTTTCTCTAATTTAGAGAGGTGCTGTTCTTAATACTAACTTTTAAATTGCAGATACTTCAAGGGAAAAGAACTCTACATTTTGTCTGTGTATGTACTTAATTAAAATCGTGATAATTATTTATATTCTTTATTATTCGTATATCGTATTTGTATTCTTTTATTTACCCGTCAAATAGGAAACGGATCAGTGTTGTGATTACATTTGAACATTAATTAATTCTAAAAGTCTTTGAAACCTCTAATATAATTCTAGTACATTAAAATAAATAAATTATGTTAGTTTATCACAAATCCTCACATATAATACATGTATGTCCTACACCTTTTGGTCTATGGATAAATATATTATATAATGTCGGCTCCATTTATTCATTCAGTCTTCTCTGGGCTTAGAATATTTCTTGTAATTTTATCCTCTATGTGTACGTCTTGATCCTCTTCGCCCCATACTGGATGGGTACCATCGCCTGTTCTTTTCACTCTCTTCTGAATTACGTCAGTAGAAACCGTTTTTAGGTCATAAGCCCAACCAATCTTAGCCATAAAATCGATGAACATCTTTGTGGTATTCAAAGAATACCCCCCGAGTTCAGCAGTTTTGTAATCCCAGGGAAAGGTATGGTGATAATTGTGGAAGCCTTCTCCAAGTACTACAAGAGACACAGGTTTGGTTTCTACCGGATTAATATGTTTGTCATAAGGCTTGATTCCCCACAAGTGGGCGGCTGAGTTAACAAGCCAAGTTACGTTGAGAACCCATACGTAGCGGAACAAGGCGCACACAAAGTAGCTGTTCCAAAGTGACTCGCCCCACAGAGTAGGTATGTAGCTGGGTAGAATGAAGCAAGCCAGCGGCATAAGTATCATGTAGTGTCTGAAACAAAAAACATATAAAATACCCATTAATTGGCTGTAGTTTTTCACGAAATCTTCTATTAGTAACAAGACAACCGTACGCTTAACAATAACTTTTAAGTTAAATAGTTGCAGAGGTACACTAGTAATGCATGAAATATTCTAAAGAAGTTTATGCATTCTGGATATTGCCACATAGACAAATCTTGGATATAAATCATTTTTCATTGTTCTTTTTACTTATACAAAACTGAGTTCTGCAAGCAAAGTAAATTTGAGGTACTATCTAGTATTGGTATACTAGCTGGTAACCGCGACTTCGTTCGCGTGCAATTTAAAAAGCGCTGCCTTAGTGGGTTCGATTTCCGGACTTGGCAAAATTTAAAGGGTTTTTCTGAGAGGAAAAATAGCCTAAGTTACTCCTCATATAGACAGCTACCTGATAGTAAAATATTATCAAAATCGGTCCAGCCGTTTAGAAGATTATAAGGAACAAACAGACAGACAGACAAAAAATTGTAACTGAAACTGAAAACTGGTTTTTAGGCATATGTATCGTGCGAATAACCGTGTGAGCATGAAAAATACCTATTATTTTGATATTACAAACAGACACTTCAATTTTATTTATTTGTATACATAGGTAAAAGGGCACCTGCAACTCGACAAACACAAGTATCTTGTCGTCCTTTGAGTGCTTTTCCTCCATCCAGGAGGAGTTAGGCCTCCGGTAACCTGTCTCACTCGACACTCAACCTGTTAAGAATTACGTAACCCCGGTTTTCTGTGCGTGGTATTGACTCTCTTCATTAATGGCAGTCAGAAATTACACTAACAAAAAAGAGACGAAGGATCCACGTTAAAAAGAAGATGAGTAAAGTATTTAATGCACTTACTTCTTTTGGAAGCGAAGAATAGGATCAGATCTGAGGTCACTCATATCAATAGTGTGCCCTTTAGCCTTGATCTGAGGATGTTTCCTGACGAGAAGCCAACCCACATGAGCGAAGAAGAAACCTCGGGTAGCATTGTGGGGGTCGGCATCTGTCTCGGAGTACTTGTGATGCATGCGATGGTCTCTTGCCCAGTCTATAGCGGAGTCCTGGAATGTAAAAATGTGATTAAATGTTGAGAAATGAAGAATAACAATATGCCTTTAGATAGGGACTAAGAAAAGTAGTAAGTTGGCTGTGTCGGTGATTATGCCACTTTTCTTGTATTATATGTTTTAAAATGTTTAAATTGCTTGTAGATTCTATTGTTTAAAAAAACATAATTTCATTCAGCTTTTAGTAGCATTCCTATCAGAAAATATATAAAATATTTAGTACCCAAAGGAGGAAACCTATTTTACCGAAAACGTTTCCAGACTGCACTGTTTCTGAGAACCTAACTAACTCACAATCGTAACGCAAAAACCTCCGTAATGTAGTTTTATGAACCCTAATTTTTATAAATGAGTCTGTTAGATATGTAAATGAATAGAAATGACAATTAACAGATGATAATGAGGAAACTTGGCATTAAATCATTTTCCATTAGTATAGGCGATAGATTACGTTACAATATGAGACACAGTAATTTATCACCTGTCGTTCGCAATTACAGTCCCGTCCTGTCAGTGCAGGTATAATAGAAACTGTAAGATATGTACGTGTATTAGTGTAGTTTAACCACCTATATTGACTACCAATTAGTTATATTAAGATGTTTATTTGTTAATTTCGTTTCGGTCAAAGGAATGTTTAAGATTTTTTTTTATTTAAGGTCATAGTTTGAATTATGATTACGGATGTAAATAGGCATACTGTTTTAGTCGATGTTCTATGTCATGTTACATGCACTTATTATATGCAAACAAACAACAACTGTATTTTATTTATAAATTAGAGAACCATTTATTATAAATTATTGTACTCTTTATCTGAATAAATATTATTATTATTAATTAGAATAGGCAGAACAACAAAGGAGTTCTGAACGGATTGAACAAATTCTGAGGCTTCTATCTGTTTCTGCCTATTAATTACGCACATTTTTATCGCTAATAATAATTTAATTACTTTTGAGTAAGAAAGACTGCTGTTTATTTCCGAGTTCAATACTTCTTAATAAATGCTTGATATAGTGAGAGTCATAGAAACCAAAAATTCTAAGCCTGATTACGATTTTCAATAATAAACAAATAAATGTTCAAACGGTTTTTTCATGACCAGTTAAAATTACTATACACAAAATTTAATAGTGCACCATTCAGGTCAAACAAATTAATCTTACAAACACGTATTGTTTATTAAAATTCCACTGTCTTTGTGATAACGGCTGGTGCAATAATGATTTGTATTTCAATTTACTTATTATCGTGATTATTGTATTGAGAAGAACTCAGGACAGGTACAACACTTGTATTGTTTGCGCTGAATTATTAAAAATGCAATCGACAAAGGGAATGGCATCTTCTTTTAGTGAATACAGTTATATTTTGGATCTTATCATTAGAGAACAAATTTGATGGACCATGACAGGTTAGGTGGGTTTGCTTAATAAAATGTTAAAAATGTTTGTATGATCTGATAATATTTTTTCTTTCATAGTACAAGCTGTGCTCAGTTTGAAACTGCGTTGTGTGTCTGATGACAGAAAATATTATTATTATATTTAACAAAAAACAATGTACTTTGGAGGCAGATGAAGAAAAGATTTTTTATTTTCCAAAAGTGTGAGTTTGCTAACATTACTCATAAAAAGCATTATACGATTAAGAAGTATGATGATAAATATGTTGTCAAAGAGAATATGTTTGTGTATATTTGTGGATAAAAAAAAACTTTAAATTAATCTTTGACCTCATTAACACACTGGTGAGAATCCATGATTTGCACGTGATTCCAAATAATTAAAACCCTGATAAACCGAAAAAAAAAAACGTAAAAAAAATATATAAATAGATAAGTATGATTGATAGCGCCTATCAGAGCAGGTTTAGGAGTATAAATATAATGATTTTAGTTTATAGCTTATTATACTATAATATATATAAGTATATATAACCAATTGTTTACTTAGATAGTTCTGTATTAATCTCATAGTCACTTATGTAAGGTTAATTGCTGTTAAAGGTGAGGTTTTGATAGTCGTGTGAAATTGTTCGTGGTTATCATATGCACGTTTATGACACATGTTGTACATATTACAGGTCGATAGATTAGAAGCGATTTGTAATTTTTTGTGAATAATTTTTACCATGATAAGAAAACATAAAACACATTATAAATAGTTTATGAGAGTTTTTAGAGATTACTCCTTAAGAATCGATTTTCATACAAATAAAAGTCTGCTCTTGTGTTTTATTGTGTCCATTCGTTTATTTGCCTTTGACAGTTCATTATTCACAATTATTAGTGATGACCTAAAATTGTACTAAAAATTACCAATCGATGTTAGTTAAGAAAAAGTTTCAATTGATTTGGAGGCCTCTTTATAAGGCCTCTCTTAATCTTTATTTTTTTCTCTCAAAGAAACTCGTACTACGAGTTTCTTTGAGAGAAAAAAATAAAGATTTAAGTACTTTTGCTTAAATACCAAGTCGATAAATAAATTATATTACGTGTGTTTAATACATTATACATATTTTATTAAATTCGTCTATCAGTCTAAAATAAATTCGTTTTGTAAATTTTTACGACTTTTTGTAGGTAGAAAATATATAACTGGTCAATGGTCATAAGCCAAGATCACAGGCCACTTACACTGCTTTAGAAAAAGCTGATATCATTTTCTAAACATACAGCAATAACATAATATATTATGTTTATATGTCTAGGTATAAAATTAATCTTTTAAAGTCAACAGTAACACTACATTTACAGCATAGGAATAGTCAAAAATAGTACAATCAAATTAAAATATGTGTATTTGTTTGTCTACTATCTTGTTTCCAAATATAATTTTGCAAACTGTGTTCTCAAGTAACTGTCAAAATTAAAATAAAAGAATGAACAGAATTGTAATTTGATTACTGCGTTATGTTAGGCTCCGATTCATGGCTAGCAGGCGTTTTCAGATTATAGGTGGCGACTGCTCAAAAGGTACAAATTGTATTCCTAATTACGTAAAAAGGTTTACACGTGTTTAACGTATGCTAGACTTTTTTGTTAAATGCCTATGAGTATTAAACTGTAACTCTCATAGCTTATGTGTTAATGTAGGTAAAGATGTTACTTATAGAAATAAGTTGGTGCTTACAACCCAAATTTGTTTAGCGACAATGCCAACAAACATTTTCAATTTTATGTTCTCCATTTCTAAATTTCTGAGTCAATTTAAGGTACCATTATTCGGATTGCAAACATTTTTATAAAAATAAGGAGACAAATAAGCCCACCCGTTCTTGTGTAATGTCGCTAAACGAACAATTTTATGTGTAGCTTCTGGAATTCTCTTAAAGTAAAAATTCTGACGGAAATTTTATTTCTAACTGGCGAAAATAATAGGTATCCTTAATGATGCTGATTATTTTGATTATTGTTTACTAATACGCAAAGAAAATTAGTTGTCGGTTAGTAATAATCACCTTTTATGCCAATGCGGCTTAATAACAATTTGTGATAAGCTTTATTCTACATCATCATTAGATGTGGAATATTTTCTTCAAATTTAAATACCTTTCAGCACCTTGAATATAACCATTTCAATTTAAAAAAACAGATTATTTAAAATCGTTTTTCAAATATCGCATAACGTTCACTCAATCTTTTTTTAAATTACGAATAAATACTCGTTAATGTGTCGTTGTTTCTTTTACAAATATTAGGTAAAAATACTAAATAAATATATACTAAATATACATATATATATATTATATAGCTTAATGTTTAACCAATTTTAGAGAATGCTATATTTCCGTCTCTATTTTTTTTCATATTTGACTATTTCTATTTGCCATTTTACGCAAATCATTCACACACACACACACATCAACAGCCTATCCTAGCAAATCATTCATTCATCGCAAAACATCATCATAAAATTTAAATGTATTCTCATTAACGCAAAACATATTAAATTCCAATAAAAGTTTGACTATTAGCCATCTTTCAAGTTTCATAGAAACTTTAAGTGTCATGTTCATGTTTTATTTATGTTTATGATTATAGAAAATTTGGTAAAAAAGAAATATCATTCCATAATGACATACCTGAAATGCAATTGTATTGAAAACAGTCAACATCAGTCGTAGTGGTAGACGTGCCTTGTATGATTTATGTGCCCAGAGTCTATGAGCTCCAGCCGTTATTCCAAGTCCCGAACATATATATAGCACAAACGCTGTAAAGAAACACATACAAACAGATCATTATTTAGTAGAAAAGTCTTTATTATAAGTCAAAACATCTTTTCTAGACATGATAGTTATTTTCGTTTCTTGCTATTTTCAAATCATATATTATGGAGAATATACTACTAACATCAAACGTGGAAATAGGAATAAATCGTTTTTTTTTTTAACTTTTAATAATACACTTATAGCTAGCCTAAATACTGCCTAAAAATACATTCAAACTGTAGTGAATTACTCTTTTGTGAGGGATGCCTATTTGGATCAAATAGATAGCACTAATCTAGGTCATGCCGTGTGTCTTTTCGATATACGGCAGTAGGAAAAAGGTTATAAAAAACCACATCGTTGACGAATATTACAGCTGTCAGTGCCAGTATAACAATAAAAAATAATAAATGTTGAACAGTAACTCTAACCACATATTCGTGTACATTTTGTGAGCGACAATTACAATAATTACGTAATATTTGTAAATTGCTACTTTATTTTTCCTGATTCAGCAATATTACACCTGTAGTTGTAAACTAAGTAGTATCTATATAATATACTAAGTCTTTATTCTTAATAAGAAGAAAACTAAACCTATTGACTTATTTTAGAATAAGGATAATTAGAATTCGTTTTCTTAAAATTTTACAAGAACAGAATATCAATTGCTCAAAAGTGGGACGGCAACTGAGGAGGTAGAAAATTACCTTTGACAGGTGACAAACGATCGGTAAGTACGAAATTATATCACAATATATACCATAGTAGCTATTGCCCGCGGTTCTTCCCGCGTGTATGTCGGTTATTGCATTAAAAAGTGGCCTATGTTACTCGCTGATAATGTAGCTTTCCATTTGTGAAACCAACAAATTTATGTTTATACCTTCATTCATAAGAATATCACTTTTTTTTACAAAACTAATTTTTAATTTTATGAAGACAACTTTGTTTTAAAAAAATGTACTGACATGCAATCATCATTACGAGTATACTTAGTCATTTCTTTCAATTTCTGCTTCAGAAAATAATGATTATCTAAGTTATAAATTACTGAGATTACGACAGTAACTAAAATAAACTAGTTCGGTTATTTAAATTTCAGTCAGTTCACTAATTTTTCCTGCGTGTACTGCAGTTTGAACGTTTTAGTCCGAATAAGAGTGAAGCATCATCTGCAAATAATATTGGCTTGTTGTTGTTTTAACAAGATACTGGTAGATCATGTATATTTAGACCAAAAATAGTCTAATTATAGAACCCTTTGGAATGAGACGATCCGGGAAAGAACCAAGGTCACCACCATAGCCTACTGGATTAGCAAGCTGAAGTGGCAGTGGTCTGGCCATATTGGCCGCAGAACCGACAACCGTTGGGAAAATCGAGTTCTTGAGTGGAGACCGAGTCTCGGCAAACGTAGTATAAGACGCTCACAGGCCAGGTGGAGTGACGATTTGCACAAGATGGCTAGCAGGAGCTGGATGCGAGAAGCCCAAAATCGAGCAAAGTGGTGTGCAATGGAAGAGGCCTATGCTTAGCAGTGGACTGCGATAAGCTGATCATGATGATTGTTCATATCTTCATTATTCATATCTTTGATGATTGTCTTTTGATGATTGATGATGATGATCTTTTATAATTAATATTGTATAACGATTTCTTCCGAATTAAAAGACGATTTTCTCCCAAATTAAATATGTAAAATCTTTGAATAAAAAGAAGTTTTTTAGTTATTCCCACTATATTATGATATGGGTAAAAAGAAAAAAAATACTTAATCATGAGTGATGTACAAAAACCGTACAACTTACCAAATAGTTTAGTGAACCACATTGCTTTAAAAAAGAAAAGATAAGCTCCATATATTCCTCCTAAGTGTAGCGAACCCATCAAAATCACGTTTCTCCACACAATCTTCAATTCTCGTTTTTCTGCTGAAGAAGGAACAACGACAGGGGGTGCATTGACATCTTCATTTGATGCGTCTGTTTCATACAACACCCACGACCCTTTTGTTTGGCCCTGAGGAGGCATTGTAACTGAAAACAAAAATTATCTTATAGACATGATCTAAAAATCCCAAAAAATATCTTTATAAAAAGTGACACATTCACATTCTTTTGTAGTTTTTAGTATTTCTGTTTCTTACAAACACACGCAAGCACTTGACACGCAACCCAATATCACGGCATACACGCACTTAGACCTTAGACCCTTTGCTGCTAACTTTCCATCTGTCCATTCACTTTTGTTTTTCACTTGAAATACGAGTTTAGTGGTTCTACCCTGCCACCCTTCGCCGTGGCACATTGTGGTTGCATTGATATGAAATGGAGAACCAAAATAGATAAAATTAATCTTTCAAATGGGTAGAACACATTTCAAAGATTAGTTTTACCTCAAATTTGAGCTCAATTGGTGCAGAACTTTTTTAATTTTTGGAGCGTACACAATCACATCTAACATTTTTAAATATAAAAGATAGATGATAAAATTACTTGTGCTTACATTGTTAAACTAAATTCTTCATTCCGATTATTGTTCGTCAAAAACGGTTTTGATAATACCAAAAAACATATTGATGTTTGATGATAACTCGATCAGTGAAGTGTTTCATTAATCGAGTAGACGACTCGAAAGACGTATGACTATTACTGTTACTTTAAATGTCTCTATATAATTGCAACATATTCCTAAATGTAATAATAATAATATATTTATTTATCAGAGTTGTTAGTAGTTACATTTTAGATGATAGCTACATTCTACCATTGTCTGGTGTACAAAATGTTAGTGGATTGAATTTATATAGATATCTATATATATATAAATTTATCTAATAAACAATTCATAAATATGAATATATATCGTCCGTGTAGTGACGGATTAAGAATACGGAATGTCACTACCCCAATTCATCCCGTGGGTGTCATAAGAGCCGACTAAGGGTGCAAAACAACGCAGGACACCAGCACTGCAAAAAAGAAGGAAAACTTGACACAAACCCTATACCAACCCGTCTGGCCAGCGTGGTATATAGGCCAAAACCTCGTTTCTAAGGAGAGGCCTATGTCCAGCAGTGGACTATTAAAGGCTGTTGATGATGATGATATATATATTTATATTTCATTGTTTTTTTTGAGCGAAATTTGTTATAAAAGAGGTAAGTACAAAATATTTGCAAGTTTCAGTTTTTTTATGCAAATCGTTTATATTATTTATTTAAAACATAAGCAACTTATTTCTTATAAATGTATGTTGACTGAAGATACATACGTGACATCAGATTCGCCATAAAACTTGCAAAAGTCAATTTATTGTATATTCATACATGTAAGAATATTATAATACTATATTACTCTACTGCTACTAACTTTACGTCTTACATAAGTTATCTTATAAAAGCAACGCCCGCACTAAGTAAGAATAAATAGTAATAAGAATAAGATTTTAGTTTATAATATTTTTAATATAATTATGTTAAACTATGTAATTAATATGCGTATAAAATAAATAAAGAGGAAAATTGTAGTTTTGTTTATAAGTATGCGTACGCATGGCAAACGAAACAACTGGCAAGATTTACGTGTGTGTTTGTTTTGTTTCATCCCGTGTGTGAATTTGAAATATTTTTTTTTGTACTCGTTTGTAAATTATTATTGTTTAAAAACCATTCTGAGCTAGCAATTTTAATTTTTCCGGGTCGGCTTTAAGTCCACTACGATACGGCTGAACTAACGGCCTAGAGGTTACCATGGCCGCTTTAATTTAAAGAAATTGTGACACACACAACAAGTTGGTGAGTTTTTCTTTTTATAGATTAGGTGGCAAACGAATAGACTGGTTACCTGATGGTAAGTGACTATTATCACCTTTTGAGTGCCCTCCCCCCAGAAAATGAAGGGAGGGGTTGATTAACGGCGGTTTTTCATGAGACGGTTCTTCTATAGGTAAAGTAGTTAATTACTTTTAGATGATATACCACAACAACGGTGTGTGATACTTAATAAATACTGAACAACTAATATAATTAGGAGGAGAGGCCTATGTCCAGCAGTGGACTATTAAAGGCTGTCGATGAATATATTTAGGGATTATTATTATTCATATACGATAGTTTTTAAGTTATTCAAAGTGATGCACATGTACATAATGTAGTTATACTCTTCGAAATTACGCATACATAATTATTTCCTTATGTGAAATGCTCAGCTAATTATTTGGTCGTGTATATCATATTATTGGTGGTTTTTTAAACATTATTTTACTATTTAATACTATTTATATGTATTTAATTAAGTGACAAGTATAAACCAAGTTTAACTTCTTCTTCAACTTGAAAAATAAAAACGTTAGGCTTTGACAGTCCACCAGGGTGTGCAGCATGTCGCAGTTGAAATGGGAAGTTTCGATAGGAAGGATCCGGAAACAACTTTTATTAAGACACCTGGATATGTCCTTTACAAATCCTGCTCTAACGTTTTCCAACGTATTCCAAATTAACTAAATACGGTTCTTACATTGTTATTACGATTAGTGCACACAATAGCTAGAGAACATCATTTAGGAATAACAAGAATAATATTATTCGCTGACTAATCGCATGTTGCTAACTGAATACGACTTTTAAAGTGAGAAACAAAAATATTCAACGTAAACTCATAGGTTTTTTTCAGTGAACACAAATATATATCTTTTTATAAAATAAATAATAAACCCTATTTACCTTCATAAATAAATTATAAATTCATCGCAATAAAATACTTTAATTGAACTCTTAATCACTAATTTATTCAATTTAATATATACTAATTTTATTTTTTTAACATGCGTTGAAGGTAGTGTATACATATTTACTAATGTTTAAAAATAACTTACTTTGTTTTATTTTGAAACAACTTACTTCAATAAACAAATCAAATCTAATTTTGAATAATCTAATTTTGAATAACTTGTAATTTCAAACAACGTTTTATTTTAGAGCCTGTGTTTAGTAAATAAAAAATATAGGTGTGAAAAATTAACTTTTAATTACATGCCTATTTGGTTTAAGTATTTATTTTAAATATTCTTGTTACAAAGATAACATTTTAGGAATATTAGGAATATATTTTTTACATAGTATAAAATAATGTCGCTTTTTTGTTGTGCGCTTAGATCTTTAAAACTAATCAACGGATTTTAATACAGCTTTCACCAATAGAGAGAGAGTGATTCAAGAGGAAAGTTTATAATGTTTTATCTTAAAAAGATCTACAAAAAAGTCTGTGATGGCATATGTCCTAAAGGATAACATACAGTAACAATTTTTATCTTACAAATATTACAAAAAAATTAGGTTATGTACAAAGGTATCTTAAACTATACATTATTATTCCTCATCCAATTAAAACCGTTAGATATGTTGTGCATTTAATGTAGATTAAAATTGCTCTTGCATTTTATATGTCCCCCCATAATCAGGTCAAAAGGGAAAAGCAACGAAAGAACTGTTAACAGTTTGAGGCCGTGAAATCACTCCACTCCAGCCCTGTTTATATGTGCCCAGGCATGGCTCTCCCACGACTCATGTTGGCGGTGTTTTACGCATAAATAATTTTCTTTTCTTTTTACTTGTAACTAACATTGTTTTATCTTATGAGACAAAACAATGTTATTAGGTATTTAGGCGATTATTAGGTATGGAGCTTTTTTTTTTGAGTTTTATTTTTATATTAACAGTTATATTAACAAAAGAGATTATGTTCGAGATTAGGCCGTATACATAACGTTTCTCAAAACTCAAGAAACGTTTGAGCGTAGTTTTATAAGGCGAAAACTAACCTCATGCGTTTCTGGAGTTTTGAGTATAATTTTGTAATACGTCCGTTGATTTATTTGTTTGTAGATAAATATTGTTGAATTACATTCTGTACCTCTATTTTAAGATTTTTAACTATACAAAAAAACTTATAGTACGTGTAATCTTCAGTTGCTTAACTTTAACTATGAGAAACCATGTAACCGTTCAAATTACCTAGTCAGTCACGTCGCCCCGTCCTTGCTGCCCATTGCGTGAGGTGCCTAGTTAATTTAGACAGGTGATTTTTAGTATTTAGTAGCTAGCCACGTACTTTTTTTTATCTACCTACCTACCTAAATACATTTACTCTTATTTAGAATTGATGAAGTGTGTCTACTTTATTACAGTCGTTTTATAAGCAGATAAAGGGATAGTTTGACTTTCGGTTTCGGCCGAAACTGAAAGAAGGGCCAAAAATTCGGTTTCGGTTTCGGCTAAAAAACCTGTTTCGATCGGACACTAGACACTAGTTTTTAATTTATGTATGTACTTGTTATGTTTCATCGTGGGAGAGTCATGGTTCCGCAAAAATGGGCCGGCTCAACCGGCATGATACCACGGTCTCACAGAGAATCTTTGTTAAGGACGGACGACTCAATAGGCTCGCAACGCTCTTTTGACTTTGAGTTGCAGATGTCTACGGGCGGCGGTAGTCACTTACCATCGGGTTCCTTCTTTTCCACCCTATATCATAATAATAGGATCTCATGTTTTTTATGTCGGTATGTTATGTTAAAGAAAACATTGTTAGTCTGTGATATTGTAAGTACCTATATCAGCGCCTCAATTCTGCTATTTTATGTTAAGATAAAAGCCTCTATCATTCCATTGACACGCTATTGAGTTGCCATTGTCTTCGGTCAAAATATCGGTATTTCATTAACATTAATTTACAGTTTCAATAGACTGTGTATGTAGTGACAATAGATCATCAATGGTGACATTAAAAACATCGCCATATCTGGAAAGTTAAATATATCATATTCTTACATATTTGAAATATACCGTTTACCAAACTTGAAGTCAATAATGAAATTCCTCAAGTTTAGGTTAATGAAGAAATGAATGCTGAATGACCGCGTAGTGGTAAATGTGGATCCAATTCAAGGGCATGAAGGATGAGCTACATACATCTTAAGCGCGCCATGTTTTGTAGAAAAAAAATGGAAAGTGGTGAAACAGTGCTCGATCAAGTTA